AATCATTTGATTCGTGAGCGATAAATGTAAAATGGACAGCTATTCTGGGCCGTCTTTTAGTTGCTCGTATAGTTTTATTGTTGTAATATTTTAACTTTTTTATTATTTGGTATGAATGTAAATGTTTTATACGCCATCCTATGGTTACCGCTGATAGGATAATTGGGATCTCGAAATAATTTATCTGAAATGTGAATAAATATTAATTTTTTTTTTAAGAAAAAACGTTGCTCTTACTTTAGGATAGCACTATCCTCTGTTGTAAGGACGTTTTACAAACATAAACTTCACGCGAACAAACACCCAGATACGAGACAACTATCTGTGGGTCACACAAATAGTTATCTCGTGTGGGGATCGAACCCACGACCCCCGATGCTGAAGCCAATACCTTGGCAACTGCGCCACGGAGTCATCGAAACTCGAGAATAAAATTCAGTCCAGCCGTTTTGAAGGAGTTCAGTGACATACACAAACGCAGAAGAATTATATATATAAAGATAGCATGTTGTTGGTTCTTAATCCCACATTGCAAGGAAAAGATAATCAGTGACACAACAATGGACAAAAGAAATAAAGTCTTAAAAGTAGGTATTGAATTAAATAATAACAAATTAAAACTAAAGTCGATGCGAGAGAAATAAATTGATCTTCCAAGCCCACCTATTTATACACACTTAATTTTCTACACATTTTGTCATACTATACTGTTTATACCTATTTCTATATCCTGTCTAAATGTAACTGTTCATAAATCACATTACATCAAAGGTTAAATGTATTTTGAGAAAGTGATTGTTACAAGTAAGTACTTTGGAACTGGAAACTTACCCGCTACCTTAAATCCAATCCAACATCCCACTGGTTCCCTCATTTATATATAATATACATATGTATACATACAGTTACATATAATTATATTTAAAATGACATAATTTGCAAAGCCTCTCTCAGACTCTCCTCAGACACTGCGTTTTGGATAGCCAATTAAAAGGTTTAGTTTTCCTAATGTCGAAAATATAAATATTTAAAAAATATACTATGTAAAAAATTATTTTTCATTTTAATAAATCCAGTCTATATCGCTTAGAAATAATGCAGCTTTTAATCAATGCAGTATATTTCCAATTTGAATAGATAGGTATTGAGCTCCTAATATGTCTTATGTGTCCACCTATTTGTAGTATTAATGTCGATGTAAATGGTTTTTAAAACAACTAATAGAATTATTCAATGCTGAGCAACAGACTGTCGAACTATTATAAAAAAGTGCCAAGTCCGTAGGAAGATAGTGTTAAAATTTTCATACGACAGTAATTGAACATGAATGATTTCATATAACAGGGTAAGCTTTTCATCAGGGAGGGAAGTCAAAATAACTTTTCAGCGTGGGAGGTAAACCTAACTGCACGGCAAAAACCATATTTTGTAGTCAATTGTGGGAAAGATGGAATGCGTGCCAATTCTTTGAACATGTATCTTTGCGAAATACACTTTAAGGACGTGACGATGTCTTAACAGGGGCAACCGAGCTCACCATTGTACTGAATCCACTTTATGTCGCTCGAATAAACCAGCGTCCTCCAAACGTTATACAGCACCGTGAGCAATCGCTTATTAATTTTTGCAATATCTTTCATATCACGTTCATCCGAAGGTGAACATGCGACTGTTTTGCAGGCTAATGTTAATAATGTGACGTCACCGACTCCCGTAAAAATTCTGATACCGGATCTGGGTGCTTTGTCATTAGCCCTTGAAGTTACATTTCCAATAAACCGTGTGAATGAACAATATGTTCATTGTCACAACAGTCAGCAGATAGAAATAAACAATCGAAATAAGCAAATCGATTCACAATTTCTAGATGACGGGTATTGGAATTGAAGTTGGAATTTGTAATGCTATGTACATGTACGAAGATATGTATATTTAGAAAATATTATTGAATAGAAAAAAACTTGCGAGCGATCCAGTGTTAAGGGGAAAGTGGATAGCCAAATTAAGAGATCACCATTGCCTGTCCCGGCAGCAAGAAAAGGATACGAGCACATACAGAAGAACCGATTGTGTGTTATAAAATACGTAAGGGCCTTGATTAACGTTGCACTACAAAAGTGATTCCCATTTTAAAGCAGATTTAATGAGCAGTAGAATACATAAAACACGATGTCCTAACAGAAACCGAAATTTTATAGACTATCTTGAAGATATGCCAATTGAGATAATTTAATTGTAGAAGGTTGTTAACCTTCAAGTAATCAAGCACATGTGATTTTAAGTAATTACCGTCGCCCATTGATCTACATTTACTACTTTCTCTTCAAATGCCGCAATATTTGTATAACAACTTTTCTACGAAAAACAATGTCACACAATCAAATAAGTACAAATTTACAAAACAAAACAAATCTACAACACCTTCAGGATTACAAATGCATTGCAAACCTTCAAAAGAGCCCCGGGTATCTGACACGCCAGATGATACTAAAAAGTATAATAAATTCCTCAGATCGGCTTTTTTTAGAAGGTCATCTGATCTATAGCGCTACCTCAGTCCTTATATAAAACTTAAAATTACATATAATATGATGTCTAATATCATTGCTAGATTATTACTAAATCAACGGTTCGATATAAGGGCTCTTTGTAGAGTACGTTGCTGTAATGCCTTTTAAATACTAGTAAAAACTTTAGACGACGTAAAAACTTTACGAAATCTTAATCCAAATTTTGAATAATTTAGTACACCCTCTGGGTATTGACATGTGCTATGATAGTTTTTGATTAAGTCATAAATATGGTCATCAAAATTAAACCAGAATTCTAACAAGTAACAGGTTAGAACATAGTGTCATTGTATTTAAAAAAAATCCGTCCATTGTTTACGACCATAGTTTAAAAGATTATTAAGTCCTTAAAAGCTATGCAGATAATTTATATTAGTATTATTTCTTATTATAATTTCCATTTTCCAAAAGCTTTGAGAAATAACCCCGTTCAATCGACGATCATTTCATGTATCCGTAAATCACCCGCGGTCACGAGTGTCTGGTAAACTCTATCAAACTCAACCTCACGTTTGTTGCGCTATACACACGTCACGTAACAAATAGGCACGTTTGCTGTTTGTTTACCATTAAATCGACTTAATACGACCATCATAGGATCATCAATGAGTTAGAGAAATGTTTTTACATAAATATCGTGTAATTTAGTCATATACTGCATATCAATGCAGCGGTGACCGCAGGCTTTGGCTACCTCACTCACCAGAAAAAATGCAGAAGTATAACACTTCCACTCATCGCCGGTTTTCTATTGCGTGGTCCAACGTATTAATCTTATCCTTTAAACGAGCAATTCTTATCGGAATCTCGGAAACAGCTCCAGCGATTTTCATGAAATTTAGTATGTGCGTAGATTCGGGGGCGAAAAATCGATCTAGCTAGGTTAATTATTACGTCAGTAAGATCGAAAAATATTATGCATATTTCATTACTCAATAATTGTCGTAAATGTAATTTCAAAAATACACGATTTACCAAAATAAAAACTGAGCAAAGCTAGATCCTCCAGGTACTGAACATAATGTATCAAATATATATTATCATACAAATATCATTCAGCATAATGAAAACAAAAAGAGTCAACGAAATTTTCCACTTCATAATATATATGCATAATATACTATACTACATATACATACTACTACATGCTAAGTAATGAGTGTAAAACAATGTCTTTATGCACACAAGAATATCGCAGTGCCACAGTAATGCGAAACGGTATTTGTAATATAGGTGATATTATAATCCTCGACCATTTCCTTTATATCTTATCACGGAATGCTGAGATGAAATTTTTTTTTTTTATTTCACTAAGTCTTTTCCTAGTATTTGGCTCTATTTCCTTCTTTTAATTTCAAATAATTAAATTTTTGATGATTAAAATTTTGATTTTGATGGTGATGTGAAAAAAAAGCGTGGACTCAAAACAGGATAGTCCACAAACCAAAAGTCACCCAGCAAACCACGGAGAGACCGAAGCTGGGACTGAAGGATGAGATCGGAAAAGAGGTGTCCCAAATCCGCAAGTAAGCTAAAATTGGCCGTTATCTGGTCAAATTGCTTGCAGAACCGATAGGTGATGGAACAAGCGTGTTCATGAGAGAAATTCTGAACGCTCTCGTGACGTAGAGTAACGACTTGTCTAAGGTTATAGGCACCATACAGATATGAAATTTACTAGGAGAGACCTACGCCCAGTAGTGGACAAACAAAGTCAGATGTTTGTTTGTTTTATTGAATAAGTTTGTAAGATACGTTATAGAATAAATATTAGTATTAAATATTATTATAATTTTCTCTAACATAAATGTAAATAATCAAAATTTAAAGTAGTTATGTAATGTATTCATGTATACATATAATGTATTCATAGTTTTAGAGATTATTCTCTTCATTAAATTGAAGTAAAAATAATAATTATACGTTTTTTAATCATACAACAAAATGGTACAGTTTAGGACATTTGATGGCAACGTAATCCCAATTATAAATAGTAGGTGACGCCACTTCCGTACGCTAATGTAAATTTTCAGAAATTATTGATTAATACTGATTTACCCTCATCAATCAAGTTAATTCGTATAATAATTAATTTATAAAAATTACGTAATACATTCACTTCCTTGTTCTTTGTTCCTGTTATATTTTTGTTAAACCCATAGATTTAGCTTTAGCGTGCCACATGCTGAGAGCTAATGTTGCACATGAAAAATTTATATCTATTTTCAGTAAGTTTTCAACATGGAAAACTAATTTTTAAATATTTAATAAAATAATTCAATTGTTAACTAAACAGATTATTCTTTATCTTATTTTCGAACGAATCGAGCGAGCGCCAAGCCATGACAACGTAAATGTTTTTTTTTGACAGTCAAAAACCTTTTCTATTGATCTAACAGCAGGTAAACGAACCCTTTTTTATCTATTAAAATGAAAAAAGCATTTGAGATACAGAAACAGGCTCGAGATAATGCAAAGACGTTCCAAACCTACATCACAGACTTACAAAATTGGGAGACCGAGATGAAACGTAAAGAGGCCGCGCTTAACGGTGATTTTGTGAAGGTTTAAATCTGTCTGCATTGTTGTTTAGGCGTTAGTTTGCTGTTTTCTTTGAGTAACGTGTTATTTTAGCTTAGCTCGTGTTTAAGTACTTATATAAAAATGTATTTAACGTATAATTTATCACGTTGGATGTTCAACGGTGGCATTTGCTTCTTTGTGCTATTATTATTTTATTTGACAACATTAGTTGGCATTTCGCGAGCGGGTGTGTTTAACACTGAAATACCTTATGATAGGATCTACCTCCAGTAAGGAGTAAGGCGAAGAGAGAAAGACCTTTGCAAGTAAAGAAAAAGAATCAAAAAAGAATCGCGTCATCTGATTACGGAGCGTGGGATAAATTTGATGTTGTATGTATGAGAATGTTATCTACTATGTTCTGAATTAAAATAGTAACATTTATATAGTACTGAATACTAACAGAATGATTACCATTGTAATATATTAATCTCAGTGTATACAAAATAATAAATGGTAATGATGTATATTTTTGTTGGTTTATAACTTATATCTATCTATTTAGGACAAAGCATGTGAGGATATAGATATGGCAGAAGTTGGACCTGTGTCCTTAGACAGCAAGAAAAGCCAAAAAGATAAGCAGGAGAAATTGCGGGAGGAGGCACTTTATGAAAAAGAGAGAGTATGCTATTTATTTTATTTTGTTTCAATAATAGTGTGTAAAAATTACTGTGGCATGTGCAGTCTGCATATTGAAGACAAGCTGATCTATTTTAAATGTGATGCGAAATATCTACAATTAATATCTCTGTTGATAATAATAATCGTTATAGTCTAAGAAAAACAATCTTATTATATTTTATAAATATTTATCATGGAGAATTGTGTGAATTAGATTTTGAAATCATCTATCATCTCTGATAATTTTCAATAATGTGCCATAAAAAGGGAAATCTTTATTCTAATAGTTTCTCTGTAACATTGTTTCTCTGAAACATGCTATATTTTAACAGTAGAAAATTGAAAAAAAAAAAAATAATTATTATGAAATATTTTCTTGTTTCTAAGCATCAAGTCACCTAGTTATAGTATTCTAGTATTCTTCTTTACTTAATTTAAAATAAACTCTTCCAGGGCAATGGATTTGTGAAGCAGGAGAAGTGGGATGAAGCGATAACATGCTACAACAGGGCAATAGAGTTAGTCAAAGATGAAGCAATATATTATGCAAACAGAGGCTTGTGCCACCTTAAGAAAGAAAGGTGAATGTTATTCTCTCAATATCCAATTACTCATATTTGCATGACTAATTCAAATTGAACCTATTGTATAGATACTATCTTTTTTAATTTTAACCTTTTAAACATTGATCTTGTTCCTTTAACCCTCATGTATAACCATATGTAACCAAACAAGTATGTTTTATATAAATTAGACTGATTTCAGTTATTACAAATAACCTATGCAGTACAAAAACGTTAGTAAAGTACATATTCATATTCATTTCCAGTCTCCATCAAGCAGAAACTGACTGTACAGAGGCGCTCAAGCTTGATCCCACATATGTGAAAGCGTTTCAAAGGCGCGCTTCGGCCAGAGAGAGACTGGGATCCCTCCGCGCTGCCACAAATGATTTAAATGAGGTTCTTAAACTGGAACCTCATAATTTGGCAGCCAGAAGGCAGCTGGAAGCAATAAAAGCGCGAATGGGCACGAAAGGAGTATGTGCTATAATTATTTTATTTGTTAGATTTGTGTATTCCGAAGTTTCTTGTACTTGTGTTGCAAGGGTTTGTTGAAATAGTTAATTTTTAAGTCATTATGAGTATCATGTATGTTAATTCAAATTGCTTTAACCGTTCCAAATGCTTGTGCTAGAGGTACAAAGAAACATTTACATACACAAATACAAAATTAATTAAGATGTTGAAATCAGTTCTATGCCCTTTGCTTTCATTTTCCAATATGGCAATCATAAATGTGGGTATGTTTTACTTTGTTTTCCTTTAATAAAGTAAAAAATAAGTGAAGGCAGTGGAAGAAGCGGGCAATTAATGTACTGAGTGAAACCACCTAGCTAATGACATCATAGTACATACTTAATGTGTTTATTATTATTCTGGACATACATATATCATCATCATCATCATCATTTCAGCCTGTTTGAGTCCACTGCTGAACATAGGCCTCCCCCATCCACCTGCATCCATCGACTTCCCGCACATTTGCACAGGTTGTCACTCCATCTAATGGGGGTTCGTCCCACACTGCAATGGCCAGTACGAGGCTGCCACTCGAGAACGTTTCTTCCCCAACGGTTATCGGTTCTACGAGCTACATGGCCGGCCCATCGCCACTTCAGCTTGCTAACCCTCTGAGCTATGTCGGTTACCTTGGTTCTGCTGCGGATGTCTTCGTTACGAACTCTATCACGCAGAGAAATACCGAGCATAGCCCGCTCCATAGCTCGCTGAGCGACTTTGAGCTTCCTCATACGGCCAGCAGTGAAGGACCACGTCTCGGTTCCGTAGGTCATCACTGGCAACACACATTGATTGAAGGCTTTAGTCTTCAAACATTGAGGTATATTTGACGAGAAGATTTGCCGTAGCTTAACTTCTTAAGTAACTTCGAGCTTAGTGCTCCCAACAACAACCGGTATTGGCGTGACATGGACATTAGACATGATCTTCGTCTTGTCCATGTTCATCTTAAGGCCCACCCGTTGGGAGACACTGTTGAGGTCATTGAGTCGGTATATCGAGGTGCTAAGTTGTTTGTATAACAAGGCTACGATGTCCGTCCAAGTATAGTCCAGTAGTACAAAACCTATCCAACTGCAGAAGGATGTAAGACAGGGTGATGTCATATCCCCGAAACTCTTCACCGCTGCGTTGGAAGATGTTTTCAAGCTTCTGGACTGGAAAGGACGAGGTATTAACATCAATGGCGAATACATCACCCACCTCCGATTTGCCGACGATTATATATATATATAGCTGATTTTTTCTGCATTTTCATTGATTAAAAAGATAATCGACAGATAATCAAAATTATTTTAATTATTGACTATGGAAATTTGTCATTTCTATAGCTCACTCTCTATCCCAATCTAGGAATGTACTGTTGTTTATGTACCAGATGATGCACAACACCAACTCTTGACCAAGAATGGTAGATTTAGATGTGCAAGAAAACAAAATCTTTGACTCACTACATCATGTACAATGAATTCTATGGAAGAGTCAAAAAGTTTTTTTTTTTTTTTAATTTTTAAAAGTATAGCTTTTAATATTCATACCAATGCTTGTTACATTTTCTTCATAGACAAAGTCTAAATCATCACCAACATCTACACCAAATGTGGAATCAAAGCAGTTTAAGGACAATTTAAAGCACAAAGGACAGGCTAAAATTGTGGAGTTGTCAGATGATCCGGCAATAGCTAAGGAACGCACTCAGTTGGAAAAATGGAAATTTGGTGAAGGGGAGAATATAAATGTCATGAGACCTGTAAAGAAACCCCCGCATTTGAGATCAAAGGTATTTATTATCATTTTTTGTTTTTCCAACGGTGTAAAACGTTATTATTACTTTACATTGTTAACTGTGTATTTGTTTTTTAAAATATAATATGTCTCCCTCACAATGGGTCAAATATGCGTCATATGTAAGTGAACTATTATTATGCATCACCTAATATTCAATATTAAATTGAATCATACAAAAATGCAATTTTAGGTGCTAATTAACAGTATCATTCTGTGTCCTGGCATACTATATGCTAAACCCTCTTTAATAGAAGTTATTTGTTATCTTCAGTTGTTTATTCCTCAACTTAGAATAGACATTTTTGAATATGCTTACTTAGAGTACTAAGTCAAACTCCTGCCAGCACTGGTACCATATTTCCTATTTCACATTGCTTACTATTCTTTCAGAGGGCTTTGAAGTCAATTACTATTCAAGAGATACCATTAGGAAAATCGTTACCAGAAAAGCCACCGACCCGCCTGAAAATCATTGAAGTAGATGACGATTTGGCTCAAGGTGACACAAACAGCAACGCATCTAATGCAAGCAGTGGTAAAATGGAAGCTGATCGCACCAGTCAAGTGATAGGTGAGGGAGATGCTAAAGTAACAAGCCCAGAATCGTTGAAGTTGATAGCTGAAGCGGAGGCAACAGAAAAAGTTAATTTCGCTCATGACATCGTTCCGCCTGTGAATAGTGTACAGTTTATGGCGGAGTGGAAGTATCTGAAAGGCCGCAGTGAAGCTAGGAGCAATTATTTAAGTGTGAGTAGTAATTAAATTTTTAATTAATGTAATAAGGGGGCCAAAAGCCATCTGTTAGGGCTGGTTCCAATATTCTCTCTATATATAGATTTGGTTATAAGCGATAAGTATTTGACATTAGCTCTATAATACTTACATCAAAATTCTATCTCCAGTAACGAAATCTATATGTAGATAGAGTATAAAAACCGGCTGTTAGTGATTCGAATTTTGGATGAAGGATTGTGTAAAAAGAAACCTGTGATTTGTCAATACTCTCTTGTCTGGGTTGTGAACTATTTATAAGGCATGTGTTTATTTGCATGTTTCAAACAGTTATTACTTTGTCAACAATTATTGTCAGTGTGCCTTTATGTATCTAATGTATTATTATTGACATACATAATTATGACTTGGTATCAGAAAACATTTAGATATCAAAAGCAAACACGAGTAAGTATTTAACTAATTAACATAGAATTCAAAGAGTTTGATTAAATTGAAGACATCAATATTTTAAATGAGGGTTAAAAATGATATATTTATTGACAGAGTATTTTGTTTGAAAATATTTGTTATGATACAATTTTATGATATTTTTGATTATGTTGGAATTTTTTGTTTTATTTTAAGATTATCGAGCCTAGCAAAATTCCCTCAATCTTTGAAAATGCACTAGAGAGTGACGTGCTTTCGGAAATACTTCATATTCTAGCTGAGGATATGGACAAATTTGGAGGGAAAACCATAACAGCATACCTTAAGGGTTTATGTAGAGTGAAGAGATTCTCTGCTTTGGCTATGTTCCTATCAACTAGCGATAAACAATGTAAGTCAATCTGCAGTTCTACTAGAAATGAATTCACAGATGGAGTGGTAACATAATTGGCTACTTCACTAACTACCAGTGTAAGGGAATTTTAGGGATAAATTTTTACATGTTTTTGCATTATTCGCAACTTCCGAATTATGTTTAATTTGCATTCATAGTTTACAGATTTTTTAATCCCCGTAGCACCGTTTTCATTACTTACCCATGTCACATTTATTTTTGTTTAGATTAATATGCTCACTTTCTTCACTCCGCTAACACACCTACCTTCTTTCTTACCTGATGTACATATTTATCACAAAGATTATATTATATTGCACTTTAATATACACATTGATAATATTATTAATAATGCTTTTAGGTTGTTTGGATTTGTTATGCTTTCGACCGACGACTTTAAGCGTCCTTCGACTTTCCTACTCTTATACAAAGCCTTGGTTCGTTCTCAATTAGAATTTGCTGTTCCAATATGCAATCACTTCTATGAAAAATACATTTCGAGATTAGAGATTGTACAAAAGAAATTCTTACGCACTATGCACTTTAAATGTTTTCACGCTAGGCTTTCTTATGTACAATTATTAGAAAAATATGAGTTGTTGAATTTGGAGTCCAGGCGCACTCTTGCTATGGCTATGCTGTTATATGGATTATGTAATAGTAAATTCGACTGTATGGAGCTTACTAACAGGATTGCTTAGATTGTACCAAGAAGAGTTACCATACGCGATGCACGCGTGCCCCGAATGTTCTACACTGAAAAGTGTAGAACAAATGCTGGGCAGCAAGCACCGCTTCGTAGAGTGCTATATGTATATAACTCTAAATTTATGAATTGTGATTTTTTTTTTTTTCACTTTCCCAAAATCAATTTAAAAGAATGGTTACGCTAATACTTAAAAAGTAATATGCAAATTAGGCTAGGAACCGACTTACTCTTTTTATTTTATTTAACTTAATATTATTTTGCGGACATTGGTGTGGGTTATACGTTTAGTTTAATAATTAGAAATTCCATTTTATGTGTAATTGTTAATGTATAACTGTTTTATGTCCCAATAAATAAAAAAAATAATACGTAAGAAAGTGGCAAACGAGCTGGCGGTATCCTAATGTTAAGTGATGACCGCCGCCCATGGACATTTGCAACACCTGTAGGGTTGCAGATGCATTGCCACCTGTTAATTAAATGGGTCGCCGCTACCTCACTCACCAAACGAAATGCAGAAGTGTAACACACTTCACGCCGGTCTTCTGTGAGGTTGTGGTACTAACCCTCCATTCGTGCAACGGGGAACCCTATTATTCTACTACTTTTAATTTGTGAAAATGTTCAGTTTCTAGACATGTTACCACAAAGTTATCTTGTAACAAACTTTTTCTAAATATGACACTAGAGAAACACGTTTATTTACACAATATGTTTCCAGTACTGACTATACACCCTGGCGCAACGTTCAAATTACGCAAATTCGGTTCGTTGTTTGCTTAATAGTCTTTTTTTTACTGTTTCAGTATTAAACAAACTGCTTGAGCGCTGCCAAACTGTGGAAAAGTGCAGCGAGGCTGACATTGCTGATCTGAAGAACAAATTTGAACTATAAAATGTCTATGATATTGTTTAATGTATAAAATTTGGCCTAAGGCGTCATACTGGAATGGTACAATAGAAAAAAAAACCGGGTTTAAATCACACAATCACTTTTTATTAAAACCTGTTTGTAGCACCATGTAATATCGCCTTAATTTTCTGTTGTAAACCTTAGGTCGAAATATTAACAGCATGATGTGTTCAAAGATAAAATAGAATGTTTATCACTTATAAAATTACTGATGACTGAAAAAATTATATATCTGTTAAGCATTGTTTCAAAGATATGTTATATGATTTTTGTCATGTCTTGCGTAATATTGCAGATTGGTTTAATTTGGAATTTTACGATATAATGAACTATTATCTAGTTTAGTTTTTTTTATTTAGAAGGAACATTATCTTAGAACAATTCTTCGTAAATATTCGTCAGATGTTGCCTCATGGTATAAGTATGGTCCATTTAATGAACAATTAGAGCCAGATTGTATTTTAGTAGACGGAAATTGTCACAAGTGTTAATAGAAATTGTTGCATTCATGTGGACCGGAAATTACGTAGTAATTGTATTTGAAAATAATCATATTGTTTATAGTTTATTTTTATTTTAATATACTAACATATTACTACTGTTCTATCAGAAGAAAATTTAAAATTTGAATTATGTTTTTTGAGAAATTAAAAAAAAATATACACTGCTGTAGAAATATTCGCAAATTCATTATATTAATTAGGATTTTGGTCGTTCCTTGTCACATATAAAACTATGGTTTGTTTATGTCGTTGTTATCCTAATTCGATTGAAATAATAGGCCCAATTTTAATGTTCTATGTGAAATAATTTTAGTGTGCAATATACAATGTGATATTAACACTTGTGACGCATTACTATGGTTAAATTCACGCAATGACTTATGCCCGGTTCCTATATTCAACGAACCGCCGTTAGTTACATAGTTTCGTAACTTTCATGACCACTTGTAGATAAAACGCATGTACGCCTGGTTCCTATATTAACAAAACGAGGCGTTTACCTTACGGGCCGTTGCATTACCTTGTTGAGTTGCTATCTTTCCTTACGAGGCGTTGCATTACCTACGGAAAGTGAGCTACTAGCGTTCCTTTAATCTACAGGTCGTTATGAAAGTTACGTACCTATGTAACTAACGGCCGTTCGTTAAATACAGGAACCGGGCGTTAGTGAATTGTGCACATAACGGTTTTGATTTGGGTTTCATACACATTTCTGGTGCTGGATTGAATGTTCCTGGCACTATTCTAGTTTAGTCCTCTAGTGGGATTTTAAAATTCGACTGTCAGTGTAGCACTATTGAATCTGAACATTTTAGGTTGTGAATTTTTGTATATAAAAATTATTTGGTTCTCATCATGGAGCCTAATAGTGAACGCTAATAAAACATGAAGCCGCACGTTCATACAAGTGATTGTTAATAAATAGCACCACAACTCTCACTGACATATATATACAGCGTGTCGTTGCCATCGCGACAATAAATGAACACACGTCTAACGTTACATGCCAATAATCATAAAAAAATATTAAATTTAAATTAAAAATAAACGCGATAAATCCGTAAAATTAGTTTCATTTATAATGTGTAATCGCGTAAATACAAGAAATTATTAAAAATATTAAAGTTAAACAAAATCCATAATTAAAAAAAATATTTTTCAAACAAACTAATTAAGTAAAAAAGAAACAAAATTTGTAACATCCTATACAACTCGCGCCACAGCGTCGTATTACAAGCCTCTCCTTCTAACTGTATGTTTTGCCTCTTTTAAATTCATTCAACCCATTCATATGCTTTGTGACCTCTACAAATGAACTTTACGTTACGCTTTTATAGGTGAGGGTGTTCTAAAATTCTTTGTTTTGGAAAATTTTATAACTCGGTAAATATTGATATTTAAAGAATTTAAATGTTTAATACAACTTAAAAAAGTTATCCCCTATATGTGTGTTCATTTATTGTCGCGATGGTAACGACACGCTGTATATAGTTACCGTCGAACAAAACTGAACTTATTTATTAGTTCGACTAAGTCTACAGTCCCTAAAACAGCATCGCGGTACGGTTTATAAGCCCCGCGTTGTCACGGTATAGTTTTTCGTTATGTCATTCTGGAGCGACAACAATGCTTCCATATTTATTTGCGGTCATTGGAGCCTATGTATAGAAATATTGCCAAAAACAATTTCAAATGTTCGTCCAATAAAGTAGCCATTTTCAGATTGGACAGTGTACTTAGGGACAGTCGAATTTTGCATTAGAATTGTATTTGGTTTCTTTTTACTTTACGGTTAGCTTCCTTAAATATACTTTAGTTATGACTTATTGGTTATTTCATTTCCCTACCACATGATACTCGTTTTTTTTATGTGAGAAAGTTAAGCCGTGACCACCGCCCATGAACATTTGCAGCACCCGTAGGGTGACATGCGTTGCCACTTTTCGTCAGGTCAGTAAGGTAGCCACCTTACTGACCTAACGCAGAAATATATCTTCCACTTTACGCCGGTGTTTCTGTGAGGTCGTGGTATTTACCCGGACGGACTTGCCCATTCGTGCAACAGTGGAAACTGTTGCGTGGCCATATTAAAAGCATTCCTCGATCTTCTGGATTATTTGCCTAGCTATATGTATGTTGGTCTACGACAAATCTCTATAAATTATTCTAGAAAAATAAATCATCTCCAAGTGTTAAATAGTTGTACCGTCCTTCATCAACGCAACGTCATGAGATGATGATGACGATACGCAAATGTCTCAATAGCTTTAGAAAATATATGAAAAACATTGTTATTACTCGTACTGGTAACAATTTAAACATGCTGTAACCAAGGGCGGATCCAGCTATGGTTCCAGGGGGGGGGGGGGTCACGTAGTCGTGGTCAAGTGATAAGAAGTTATAATTTAATTTTTATAATCATAGACACAAGTAAAAAATAAATATATTTTTAACCGACTTCAATAAGAAGGAGGTTATCAATTCGGTTGTTTATTTTTTTATGTATGTTCGGGCATAACTTCGTCATATATAGACGGATTTGCAAAATTCTTTTTACGTTCGTAACATTTCGTTGCTTTTTATTATCATAATATATTATACAGGGTGGACTTTATAAAGGTGCCCAAATTCACGCAGGAGGTGTAAAATCGTTTATAGAAATTAAAACAAACTGTTTTTAAAAAAAAATGGTATTCTATTCCCTAAAAACACAACTTATTGACAATGCGGTAGTCATTCATAAATGCGTTTTATACTTTTGGATCGATCCACTTAGAAAAGCCGCCCAGTATAGTATTTTTTTTAAGTAGCTATTGGTAGGCTTAGTTATTTTTGAAATTTCTTTTTATTTATTTCTTCGTTATCAGATTTTGTGTAGCCGTATTGGTTATAATTTTTTTCAATTCCTCTACTCCGCACGCTGGCTCCACAATGACTGGGGCTATCGGGACACGGGTTAATAATCAACCCAAATGAAAACTACTAAAATAGCCAGTATACAAACTAAAATTACATCGTCCACGTTAAAAAAAAAATGTTCATAAATAACAAAAAAAATATTCAGTCATTCATTCATTCATTCATATTATTTAGCGCTCATCGCTCTAATCAAAGACAGAATCCACATTCATAACAAATGGTACGAACAAACTTTATTTCCCAAAAATGGGATCGCATACTCACGTCCATTAAACGACCACCTCTCACCACCCATCCAAAACGGTCCACCCATTAAGATGAATCAAACTCGAAGCAGTTGTGTTCCTTAATTAGTGAGTTTCGATGGCCACATTCCAGCTCTGTCATTAGACCCTGGTTACCATCTAGCACCAAAGAACTCGAAGACGAATCAAACGAGCCGAAACTCGATGGAGTTAAGTCGTTTCATTACAGAGCGGTCATAAGAACATCACAGAATAGCCTCATAGACCACACAAAAGATCGGCGTAAAGTACTTCTGCGTTTTGTCTCGTGAGTGAGGTAGCCGGAGCCCAGTTTATTATAAGGAGGAAACGCATCTGCAACCCTATGCATATGTCCATGGACGGCTGAAGATGGAGCACCAACATCAGATCCTGGTTACCAATGAAAGACAAACTACTCGTCAATACGATTCAAATGTACCCAAACGCAATGAGGCTCTGTCGTTTCATTGCGAAGTTTCTTTGGCCACCTTCCAGCTCCATCATCAGATCAGCACCATGTCATAAAAATATTGCATTGTCTCGCGATTTACACAAACACATACAAATTTCAGCTCAACCGGTAACCGGGATGTAGAATCAAATTTAATTTGCAACATTTGATGACAAACGGTGAACGGTGGTAGGGCCACGCAGCAGCCTCGGCTGTTGCACGAATGGGCAGGCTCGTCCGGGTAAGTACCACGACCTCACAGAAGACCGGCGTAAAGTGAAAGTATAATACTTTCGCGTTTCGTCTGGTGAGTGAGGTGACCGGAGCCCAATTTTCAAAAGGTTGTCAACGCATCTGCAAACCCTCGGGTGTAGCAGATGTCTATGGGCGGCGGTATTCACTTAACATCAGGTGAACCGTCTGCTCGTTTGACAACTTTTCACATAAAAAAAAAAAACATTAAAATATTGTAAAATATTCATAAAATGAAAACTACTTGGCCAAACTATGGTAAATTTTTATGGGACCAAATGGCAACTATTCTGCATCAAACTAAAGAAGAATCACGTAAATCGGAAAATAAATCTCAACGTAATCGGTGTACATTCATCGAAAAAAAATATAACAATCGAATTGAGAAACTTCTCCTTTTGAAGTCGGTTAAAATATTATATTAATTGAATATTAATTACTTAAATATTGAAGGTAGTTATATAAAATGGTTATTGTGGCAAAAAAATATAAAAACATTATGTTTAACAATTTTAATTAGTGGTCCCCCTAGGTCCTGGACCCATCCCAGGGGGGGGTCATGACCCCCATGACCCCCCCCCCCCCCCCTGGATCCGCCCTTGGCTGTAACTACCTTTAAATGGAATCTTAAAAATGTAAATCTTAGTTCCTAAGTCTATTGTCAGTTTTTATTACAAAACAACATGATATTCCGTTGGTGGTTCTATGTTCTATCAATAAATAAATTTTAAAAAAACATTTGAGGATTGCCTTCGATTTCCCTGGGATTCGATCATCAGGTCCTAACTTGGTGCATATCTTTTTTTTTTTAAACCATGCCCTTACTATAGGATAAATTTATCCTGTGTTGCAAGGACGTTTTACAAACATAAATTTCACGCGGACAAACACCCAGATGGGAAACAACTATCTGTGGGTCACACAAATAGTTGTCCCGTGTGGGGATCGAACCCACCACCCCCGACGCCCGAAGCCAATAACTTGGCAACTGCGCCACGGAGTCATCATATGGGACCACCTCAAAGATATACTCTTTCAAATAAAAAAAGAGTTTTGAGAATCGGTTCACAAATGGGGGAGAAATCGTTGAACATACATACAGTCGAACATAAAACCTCCTCCTTTTGAAGTCGATTAATAAATCGATTGTTTGTTTCATGCAAATTAATGATAATGGACGTTTTGTACAACCGTAAGAAGTTTGCGTTCGTAAAGGCACCGACGGTCATTTAAAACAAAGAGAATGTAATCACTACGTTTAAAACCGATTTAAAAACCGCAAAAAGTACATAATCGCCGTCAAATCTGACAATTCCTTACTATGCATTTTTATACTGTCATTTTTCTCTAATATTGTTAAAGTAATAAATGAGCAATGCGGTACAGATCGATGAAATACTTCTACATCGCGGCGGTACTCCTGTTCGTTGGGCACCTCCTCGGCTCCTGCGTGGTGTTCCTCCAAGTCCATGACAGGACGCACCTATACTTCGTAAATCCGATCTCTTACCTGACCAAGAGCGGCGTCGAATGCTACAAAGTGCGCACAGAGAACACCGTGAACATAACCAGGGCCAGTTTCTTCCCGATGCGCTCGATATTCTTCCACTCGTTGTCTTGCGACAGAATGGTAGACGAGAGAGGCGCGTGCGCGATAGAGGCCGCGGCCCGTTTGCACCCCGAGGCGGACGTAAACCTGCTCTATTCGAGCGCGGTGTCGCACGAGACATGGAGCCGGTATCTGGACCACCTGATCAAGCTGCCCAACTTCCGTATGGTCGGCATACAGGCAAGTGGCGTAAAATGCATGACGTGGTTTTTCGGCACAAACTGTTAAATAACTCAATAAATTGCCCCGACGCTCTTCAAAACATTTCACTAGCTGTACCTCAGAAATTTCCACGCAAACCGATTACAAAAATCTTTCATACACCGACCGTAAAAACTAATCTCGGCCTCAATTCACCTTTTGTAAGAATGTGCAAAGAACTTAATACACTTTTTAACCGTGCTGAAAATATCGACATTTTTAACGATTCCCCTGATGTTTATAAAAAGAAAGTACTGGAGTCATTTCATTAGTGTATATTATAGTAGGTATAGTATTCTTTAAAGTGAATATATATTTTTAGTAAGTTGTGTAAATATGTATACTGTTGATGTGTCCTAAAATAAAAAAAATTAAAATAAAAAAGTGGCGGATTTACCAGCAGGCTTATTTTACTTTATTGTTACACTTCTGCGTTTCGTCTGGCGAGTGAGGTAGCCGGGGCCCACTTAACTTAAAGGTGGCAACGCATTTGCAATCCTACGGGTGTTGCAAATGTCTATGGGCGGTGGTTATGTTGAACTTAACATCAGATGAACCGCCAGCTCGTTTGCCAGTTTCTCACATAAAAAAAAGATAAGTAGGCTATTTCATAGGGCGGGAGAATTTAGGGGGCCCAAAGTTTTTTGTCTTACAGTAATATAGAAAAAACATCATTTTAACTTCATACATAGAGAAAACGAGTCTTAATTTTAACGTAATGTAAGACTTTCATAACGTGATACATTTTTTATCATTATTAACCGAGTTGTTAACAGAAAAATTAATAGAGATACTGTTCGTATTATTTTTAAACTGTACGTGCAATAAAAAAAAATAATGTTTACTAAAAATATACGTTATTTTGTGTTAGCTGTGTTCATATATTGGTTTAAGTATTTTTAAGACATACCATACCCCGTTCTATAATAAGAACATGATTAAGATTTTTTTTAGCTCATAAATATACTAAAAAATATTTTTCCTTGTAATCTTAACAAAATCGTGGATTGCATAAATAATCTAGAAACAGATGAAACGAAACCTAGTTCAAAAGCACGCTAATAAGGAGAAAAAACTGATGTAATGAAGACGATAGATACCAAATCATAAAAATTTGATTGACGTAATAAAATTAATATGATTGGTATTATTAAGTAAACTTATTGTGCACACCACTATTCATTAGTTTTTTTTCCTCGTCCTAAGGTTGTCTGGAAGAAATCGCTTTTTAGCGACCGCCTTGTTATATATTATAGACTTATTATATATTTATTGTATTAGATCGTTGTGGTGTACAATAAAGTATACAAGTAAACAAATTAATATGATGTAATCAATACGATTGCGGAGTAAGTCATGTAGTGTAGAATTTGATAGGGGCGGCAAAAATTTTACAGTCTATTGGCGGCTAATTTGTATATCCGCTGATACAGGTGCAGGGGCACGCTAACGGCACCGAGTTCGAAGCGTTCTGGCGTAGTGTCATCGCCCATAACAAGGTGACAGACCCCAGAGACGTCGCGGAGTACGTCAAGTTCCTCACGCTGCACCGTTTTGGCGGGGTTGTGCTGGACCTGGACGTCATCGTGGGCAGGCCCCTGGACGCGTTGGGCTCGAACTGGGTGGTAAAGGACGGCGAGTGGATTTTGGGGACGGACGCCATATCTATACCGAGGAGCAGCGTCGGTCGCAATCTCACTGCCTTCGTTTTGAGGTCGTAAAGGATACCGTTTATTCTTATACATACAGGGTGGCTTTTCTTAAGGTGCCCAAATTCACACAGGAGGCACTGTCTCGGTAGTATAATCGTTTATTGAAATAAAAATTGATTTCAATAAACTATGATATTCAAATGAATGTAATTCATTAATTACAAGTGATTTTAAATATTTATCCTTTTTATATAACATTAATTATATCTAGAATTTAATAAAAAAATGGATAAATGGAAAAGCCTCCCTGTATAGGGTGAAATTCAAGTCAAGTGTACCCTTTTAAACTAAGACCCTATACGTGATACCAGTACGTTAAAAACAGCGGCGCGCCTTTAACCTTTTGCTGGGCTGGCTGTACCTAAGGGCCTTGAACTTGAATTATTACACAATATTGTCTTCGGTTTCCTGGCCTATTTCTTCGTTACGTGTTTTTATTAATTTTCCCTGATTATTTGCAATAAAAACCTATGTGACCACAAAATATTATTGTCAATGTAACTAGATTTTTGAGGATATCCGTACTTAACACTCATAATGCATAAATAATTTTTGATTAACATAATTTTAGTCTTAATGTAACTAGTATCATATACAGGGTCTTAGTTTAAAAGGATGCTCATGACTTCAATTTCACCCTGTACATTCATCAAATTAAGGATAGTTTTGTATTTCTCGGATTTCCCGATTGAATAAGGATTTCATAAACTACCTAATTGAAGATTCGATGCCAAAGTGGTAAGTCACCGGCTTTTTGTTTTGCATTAGTGCGATGGCCAGTTCGTGGAAGTATAACGGTCTCAGAAAAGCCCGGTGTGAACTGGAAGTAGTTACATATGCATTTTGTACGACGTGTGAGGTCACCGGAGTCCATTCTCTTCAAGGTCGTCAACGCAAATTGCTTTTTTGAAAGTAAAGTAGGTTCGCCATCTTCCTCCACAAACGATAATGTTCTTTTTTTTAACTTTTAAGCTAAGCTACTGAATTATTGTAATAATGTTATGTGAATGACTACTATGGTCTGTTGTTATTAATATTTAATAATAATAATAAGTTACTTGTGTCTCAATGTGCAATCCATAGAATACCAGACAAGTTATGCTATAGTCTAAGTAAGTCTAAACTAAGGCAATAGTAAAGTTTTAACTTAACCATTTTTATTAAAATTTAGAAAGTACGAAATGTAGAAAAAGTACGAAAAGAATGTCGCCGCTGTGGGAATCGAACCCACGTCTTCGGCATTCGCGGCTTGAAGCTCTAGCCACTGAGCTAAACGGCTGATAGCCACACCGACGAAAATCTTAACGTCTTTTATCTACATTTTTTTAGCATTTGAAGCAATCCTTGGCGCATCCATTGTTATATCCTTTCCAGCATACAAAAATTTTCGAATATCGTTTTACAACGATAATTCGAACGAGAGATGTCGCCATTGCTTCTTAGAAATTTTAAATTTTTATAGTGCTATTCTCTGCACTTAAGATTTAAAATTTGTAGAAAAAGTACGAAAAGAATGTCGCCGCTGTGGGAATCGAACCCACGTCTTCTGCATTCGCGGCCTGACGCTCTAGCCACTGAGCTAAACGGCTGATAGCCACACCGACGAAAATCTTAACGTCTTTTATCTACATTTTTTTTAGCATTTGAAGCAATACTTGGCGCATCCATTGTTATACCTTTCCTGCATACAAACAACTTTTTTTATAAAAGTACGCCCCAAACTTTTGCTGTGGCAGAGCATAGCAGCAGCTTCTGCTGTTGCACGAATGGGCAGGCTTGAACCGCTTGTTGGCTTTCACATAAAAATCATTTAAAAAAAAAAACAGAAAATGTTTTTAGGCGTTTTCATTTTTTTAGATCCCTCAGCAAGCAAATAATGCGAGGAGAAATGAACGCAAGCGTCGCTTTAGGGAATGGGCTCATAAGCCTGTGCCCAGACCATGATTTTAGCATCATACAAACAAAAACGTGTTACGGTAAGAAAATGTTTTCAAAATCGCCAATCATTCCTTAACTCCGCGAAGCAAATATTAAGTTACGCAACATTCTAAGGCATGTTTCATCGTTAACGACGAGATTCAGTGTCTTTAAAATTTTTAAGGTATTATATATTTTTTTATTTTAAGGTATTATATATTTTTTTATTTTTAAGGTATTATATATTTTTTTATTTTTAAGGTATTATATATTTTTTTATTTTTAAGGTATTGTAATTATTTGCTGCATTTCGCACGTTTTTTTAAGAATATTGATTGAAATTTTTGAATTGAACAAATTGAAAATAGATATTTTACAAAATTTTGTGTGACTTCTAGTGTTTGAATCATATTGTAAGATACTTTTTGGTGAGAATGCTTTGTGGCATAACTGTCACCCTGTCTCCTTCCTACAAAATAGAGGGATTTTTATCGTCGTGCTGTCAAGTTAACTTCCCACATATATAATAAGAAGTTCACTACATTCGCGAAACATACTGTTCAGTGGCAGAGGCGTGCTTCTGGCTTTCCTTCCGACTGCAATATCTCTAAGTAAAAAGACTGCATGTTGTCTTGCACGTGCACTCCAGACATGCGAAAAAGCTTTGCATACCTTGTTTTCCCATAAAAACAAGTCCTAAAATACTAGAGCTCCCGCGTTACTGTAAAGTTATCATTTTTGGGTTCCGTACCTTAAAAGGTAAAAACAGGAACCCTTAAAGATCACTCTCTTGACCGTCTGTCAGCCCTAGAAAGTTGAATATACTATATATGTAATAGGGACAATTGACTAGTTTAAATTACAACTTGCTAGATCCACCCGTTTCAATCGGTAAGTACGGAACCCTCGGCGCACGAGTTCGACTGGCACTTGACCTTTTATAAGTTAAAGAAAACAAACTTAACGTCTCACAGGCACAGTCTTTTCAAATACCACTTTGGATATCATTTAAGTGAAGAAATTGTGTGGTGGGCTCCTTTAGGGCATAGGGCACAAAAGAATGTTTGCGGTATTGTTGATGCTACCCTGTATGTAAGACTCTTTGCTCGCCATGTTGGTCAGCTTGGTTCGTGATACAAAAGAAGGTTTTCGTTGTTATTGATGTTTCCATTTCGATGCCAAAAACAAATATTTTTCGTTCTAGATTTCTCCGTCTATGAAGACGAGCTGGTCCATCCAATCGGCCGTGACGACTGGCAGCATTATTATCAACCGGGTATGTAAATTCAGTCAATAGACAAAGTAAAAACAGTAAATAACAGACAGGCAGCTACCGCTGTTGTATAAATGAATTGGTTACTAGGAAATTAATACGGCCTCACAGATGGGCATGCAATGGATAATAAAAAGATACCTCCGGTGGTAACCTACTATGGGATATAAACCCTTTCGACGTTGCAAATGTACCTCAGTAGCGGTAATCACTAACTACCGGAAGTCCCTGGCGAAGTTGTCAAAGTATAAGGCTTCGGCGCCGGGGATCGTGGGTTCGATTCCCATAACAGACAATTATTTGTGTGACCTTAAGATAATTGTATCAGACCTGTCTGTGATCTAAATTGAGGGGGATTTTTTTTCGTAGGCTAGACTAAAAATAAATGTTTCTAGGTCGCAGTGATTGTTAGGACTTACCACCCATCCCATGTGGAAGAGCCACACAAAATATCAATAAAATACTATCGAGTAACCGCTTGCTTGTTCGCCACAGTAAGGAAAGACGATACAATAATAATTTAAAGTTGCAACTTTACATTTTCAACTCTATTCAATACGGATAGAGTTAAAAGAAAAGATTAGAGAGAAAATTAGGAGATTAGTCTTAGCAACACTATTGTAAAAATTGTGAAAATATCGAAAATTCCCATGTGTCCCACGTCAAATTGTATTCAAGGTAGTATAAAAGATATATAGAGTTTTTATAATTTTGCAAATAAAACATTTTTTTCATAAACAAACATTGGAAGCCAAATTAAAAATGCTTTTGTTACATTGCGCTGAATTAATAATATATTTTGCGTAATTAATTTCGGACTGTATGTTCTCTACGTGTATTTATAAAATATTTTTAAACTTTCATCACTAAGTATAATAAATAATAAAATATGTTTGTTTTCTCCTTTGAAGACTGCCCCCGATTTTTCTGGGATGCCATCATCCGATGCGGGTTTCCTTATCACCACCCTTGGGATATCCTTTCCAACAAAAAAAAAAGAATCATCAAAATCGGTCGATAAACGTAGAAGTTATCCGCGAACAAAAAATTTAAAATAGGTATATACGGTCGAATTAAGAAACCTTCTTTTTTGAAGTCGGTCAAAAAAGCTTATACAACCCTGGTATACACATAGGATTCAACAGAGAACATTGATCGTTCACTAATTTGTTATACATTTATTGTCTCCTACAGGTAGCTACAACAAGAGGGCTTTCGCACACCGCGTCTGGGGTACAACACTACCGAAAATGGAAGACACCCAACACAGCGTGTACGCCGATATAGCGCGGACATTTTGCCCTTGGGTGCATTCTATTACAACGAATAGTTATTGAATAAACGGTTGTTCAGCTGCAAGACCAGTATTTTTTAAGGTTCCGTACTAAAACGGTGAAACGGGACCCTATTAGTGATAGTCTTTGTTGACTCCGCTGTCTATCTGTCTGTCTTTCCGTCCGTCTGTCACCAGGCAGTATCTCATGAACCGTAATAGTTAGACAGTTGAAATTTTCGCTGGTCATGTATTTCAGTTGCCGCTGTAACAAAAAATACTAAAAAAACAATAAAAATAATTAAGTACGGCTCCGATACAACCAAATTGACTTTTTTTGCCGTTTTTATACATTCGGTGCTGCCGGTTTTTCTTCTCACTTTGCTTGCTTCACTTAAAGCTTTCTCACTGATAATGGTAAACGATTTATTTTATAAGAAACTGCTCAGAATTTAAAATACGGAATAAATTGTATTTAACCGTTAATCCAACGGTAATTGGCCATGTATCCCTATGGCTACATTGCGAACTAGATGAATAGTGCGAAAGGTGAGTAAAAACCTTATCATTTTTCCCAAAGACTTTATATTTGAACGTTATAATACCGCTTGCTAATGAAAGATACTTGCTTTTTCTGCCACCGAAACTCTAGTTAAAAGAGCAATTAACTCATAACTCCGGAGAGAGTCTCTCTATCTTGTAGAAAACCGAAAAGATAGACACGCTGTAAATATTACCTATACTAGCGCGATAAAGTGCTTCAAATTCCACTTTTGAAATTTTTTACACGCCGCCTAAAGCAACTAGATTCGTTTTGCATTTACGGAAACTATAAGCGTTTTGGTATGGAAGCTAAAGTATTGTAGGCATTATACATACAATATGTTAAATGTATATGTTAGTACACGAGTATGGTAATGACAGGGAAGGACAAAGCTACTTTTATCAGTTTATAAGCTTTGGCCCCAGACTTCTTTGACAAGAATGAGGCTTAAAAGTGATAACCTAGTATACGTCTGTTGGTAATCTATTTTGTAGACGTAAATGAATAGTTTTCTTGTTCAAAATATACTTGCAAGTGCGTGAAAGTGACAAATATATCATCATGGTCCCAGGAAGTACACATCCATTTAGGACACCAGAGTAGGGTGAAAGTATCGTATGTCTAATGCGTGAGGCAGCTAGATCCGCCCTGGATCTAGTTACTTCCTCCCACACAAGCGACGTATCGACGATTTAATATGCACTTCTACAAGTGTTGCCAAGTTTGTTACCTTTCACTTCGTTCTACGGTCGGTGAAATAGTTTATGAAAGTTATATTCAACACATTAAAAAGATAACCGAGTATTAAAGTAACTCTTTAGCATTGACTATGCCACCGACATTCAAAGGTCGTCTCTTCATTAAAGTTTCAAAGTCATCTTCGCTCGTAAAGACATTACCTCGTTAAACACCGATAATAAGCAAGCGAAACTCATAAAAACTGACGTAAATATCGTCGTAAAGCAATCGTCCCTTTTATGGTTACCTGGAAAATGCGGTGGATAATTTTACGGTAATAGAACTGTAAAACCCAATAGCTGATGCCTCGTCCTCACCAACACCAACCTTTATTAGTACCTGGAGGACCGGTTTAGTTTTTTTTTTTTTGGTAAATCGTGTATTTTGGAAATAACATTTAGATACAAATTACTGAGTAATGAAATATTATGAATTTTTCGATCTTACCGACGTAATAATAAGAAAATATGAACTGGTGTTTTTCACAAAAGAAAGGACTTTAAAAAAAGGGAAAAATAGAACAAAATAACAAATCGACAAAAATCAAAAATAAAGAAAGCAATGATCTGGAATCGAAAAAAAAGTAAAAAAATAAGTGCGTAAATGATCGTGACACGAACCACGGCCTTCTGTTTCGGGGCCGCCCGATTTCCGACCGAGTTATTATAACATTCTTCGCGGTGAAATTTACCGTCGTATTCGAATGATATTTTTCATTCCCTGAAAACTGGGATAAACGACATTTTCTAAAAATGAAACCTAGCCAGATCGATCTTTCGCCCCCGAAACTACGCACACATTTCATGAAAATCGCTGGAGCCGTTTCCGTGATTCCAATTATACATATTATATATACAAGAATTGCTAGTTTAACGGATAAGAGATATAGTAAATATTGTAGTTTCCAATAATTAAAAAATAATTTTTTCACCAAAAAATAGCCATGTAGGTAGTGTAGATGTAAACTAGTAAAATATCAACGAGGAATTAAACACTGGAGAGGGCTTGGACGCTTGATATAAAGATGCCTACAAAAAGAAGTTTTTCACGCGTGGAAATGTCGAAGACCAAGATATTCAAGACGACTTCCATCACATTTACTTCTATTACTTTGTAACTGTGTCAAGATTATGGTGACATAATATTCGTACGCAGTTACTTTATGTAAGCAATATCGGCTTACTTTTTTCTGTAAATAAATACATATTATAAATATGTATAAACACCCAGATACTACAAAAATATAATGTTTTCATCACACAATATTTTTCCATTAGTGAGGACCAAACCCACACTTCGCGCAAGAGACAGACAGGGTCACTATCAACTACGCCAAATGGGTCGTTAATGTTATTATTTCATTGGAGTGTTGTCCAATGAAATAATAACATTAACAACGTTGTATATGATGGTATTTGGTAAAAATATTACGATATAATATTTACAAGATTAAATCTATCTTAAATTACATGTTATCTAATAAACCTAATCCACGCGGCATGGTGCAAGAACGCTAACTGTATTTCCTCGCTGAATAATTATGCTTAACTTTTGAGCGAGAAAAGAAGCTCTCTTGTCACCAGCCGCGGCGTTAAGCCTAGGACATAAAGTTACCAACCAACCACCCAAGAGACCCCACGGACCTAAAGTTTCAACAGTAACTGGCACAAATACATAATCTAAACATAAAGACTCATATTTGAACCATTCACTTACTTCAGCTGCCTCCGGTGCCGCCCCGGCCCTGAACGAAGTACCCCTTAGATGAGAGGCAGCCAAAGTGTCTACACAAGTGGCGTCCCAAACAAGGGCTTTGCCTCGCTCCCCGTTAGATATTAGTCGTCAATTAGATGCAATTATCGCACTGCCGGCGACAAGAACAAGTTAAACGCCTTCATTAATATAACAAAGTGATCTTACGTGGAGTCATTAACTTATGACTGACAGTAGTGCTATACGTAAGTAATAAAAATCAACATTAGCATCATCGTAAAGCAAAAATTAACGTGAATTTTCTGTCCTTTTCTAGCAAATTTTGTGCATGACATTAAATATCCTGTTAAATGTTTTTATTTAAGTGTATTCGCGTGATTACAAGAATCGTTACTGAAAATTTTTCTACAAATTTTAATTACTCAAAATGTTTTGTTAGCCCTATCATTTTAACTGTGGTAGGGCCAGGCTACATCTTCTGCTGATGCACGGATGGGCAGACTCCACCGGGGATGTACTACGGCCTCAGGAGACCTGCATAAAGTGGAAGTATTATAGATTCACATTTCGTTTGAGTCAGTCAAGAGGGGCGTATTATCTAAAGGCTGTCAACGCATCTGCCAGTTCCCAGGCGTTGTAAATGTCCATGTGGGTATTAAATTATTCGTTTAGATCAGGCCTGTTCGTTTGACAACTTTTCACATAAAAAAAAACAAGTGCGAGTCGGACTCGAGCATGAATGATTCCGTACAGACAGACAGCGCAGTCTTAGTAATAGAGTCCCGTTTTACCCTTTGGGTACGGAACCCTAAAAAAAGACAACCGCTTCTTGCGATGCTTCGCACCTAACATCCTCCTGTCCTATCCATAATCTCCTTATCTTCATAAAACAAGTGAGTTTAGTAGTATTCTATAAATCGTCAATTAAACGAAGATTAAAATTTTATCTCGAATGTAGATTATCATTAAAAATTAAAGTTTAAATGTATATAACTTTTAACTTGATTAGATATTTTGTTCAAATTCTAAATGCGGCTCTTTTGGTAACGTGGAAATTGCCTTTATACAAATTTTCAAATGTATCTTATGATAGTTTCTTCGATAATTAAGTGAAATTAAAGTAAGATGATGGCACAGCATAAGTCATATGCCACCACGGGACCACCACAATTCCACAACTCCTCAAATGATATTTGGGCAGAGATGCTTAGAACCTGACATGTCGAAGTCGCTTTGAGGTCGCTAGTTTCAATCATGGTGCATTTTAAGTATTTCTTACGAGCAAATATCACGGAGACACTAGAATTGCCTGGCATTTGTGACTCGTGTGCTGCGATAAGGTACTTAACGAGACATGGTGGCATGCATAGCATTAGCAAGCAATGTCCAGTAAAAATATTTCTCAGTGGAAATCATGCGATTTTCTCCAAGGCATTTCAAGTTGACGTGTATTACAATAATTTTAGTTTAATATTCCTTTGAGATTTGATGTTTTTTTTTTATAATGTGAAAAGTTGCCAAACGTGCAGAACGCTCACCTGATGCTGAGTGAATATCGCCGCCCATAGACATCTGCTACACCCGAGGGTTACAGATGCGTTGAGAACCTATTGGAAATTGGGCTCCGGCTACCTCACTCACCAGACGAAACGCGAAAGTATTTGCCATACTTCCACTTTACGCTGGTCCTCTGTGAGGTCGTGGTACTTACCCGGACGGGCCTGCCCATTCGTGCAACAGCCGAGGCTGCTGCGTGGCCCTGCCACCGTAAAATGTTATTTATTACCAGGCAATGAGCTTCAACCCCAGTGTCGGTGACGAACTCAATCGACACTGAGTTATCGTTGCTTTTAAGAAATCACGCGCCATCTTGAAAATTATCAAATGACATTGCTTCGACTCTTTTCTCGCGAGTCATCGTTTGCCTTTGACGAATTTCAATCTTAATTTAAGTTTAGCTTCATGATCCCTCTTGTGACGAATAGCATACATAATAAATGAAACTAACTTTTACGGATTTATCGCGTTTATTTTTTATGACTCCATTATTAAGACTCCATTTCTAA